CATATTTTACTTTTATCATTTTTCGGCTACCTCACTTATTCACGACCGTTTGGTCGGTCGGGTATTTTTTGGCACAAAGTGCGCACAACTTTTGCTTCCGGTGGCTCTTTTTTAACCTTATTTCTCCATTCCCCTTGCCTTGGCTCTTTTGTTTGTCCCCATCACCCACGGCCCCTCGCAGAAGCAGCATGTGCACAAAAAGACCCTGCAGGCGCTCATGTATCCGATATCAAGCAACACGCCGCATAACTTTCAGGTTTGGAGTGCCACCAGTCCGACTTACTGCTACGAATGCGAAGGCCTTCTCTGGGGCTTGGCTCGCCAAGGCCTCCGTTGCACCGAGTGCGGCGTCAAGTGCCACGACAAATGTCGCGAACTATTAAACGCCGATTGCCTGCAACGTACGTCCATCCAGTTGACCGTTCCTTCCCTGTTCCTAGTCTCCCTTTGTTCTCGTTACTATTGCACCATCTTCTCGTGGAGTTCATCCAATCTCTCTCCTTTCCCTAGTCTTCATTTTGCCTTCTACCTACTTGTACCATTGAAAGTAGTCTCTGAATCGCTTCTTCAAGATTAGCCTAACTTGTTATTCGGGTGGTAATTAGTTGTTTCCGTAATTTACGGTCAGATATTCAGATAGTTACTAGGCTTCGAGATTATGCTGGATTTCGGATCGGAGTTATAGTCAGCATAAGGTGATGAATAAATTATTCAATATATCTTGGTTTGCAGAGATTATCTAGCCGAAATAGCCTATTCTTTCAATTGTCTACGTTGTACTGTCCATTCCATCGAGAAACAATTGAAACTTTCCTGTGTTTTATGAGATGTATTCACCCTATTACATTTTAGGTGATGAAGGACTAGTTGTAGAATTTTCCCACAATGATATGAGTAGAATTGACGTTTCCACGGAATTTCACATAGTCTTGCTTTCGCAAAAGTTGTTCTCATCACCTTAATCATCTTAAACGAAATAAAGTGAATACATTTCATGTAACTGATTTATTGGTAGTCTCGAAGCTCTACTTATATACGAAAAATTTAATGTGTTTTGTTTGCCATTGTCTGCGTGCCCCACCTCTACCGTGCTCGTCTATTGAGGTGGGGATACGAATTGCAAGTTGGCTATTTGCCCAATGCACATTCTGGATTAACTGCGGCAACATGTTGCGTCATGGCGAGAGGCCGAACAATAACGAACGGACACAGCGGAGGCTTAGATCCTTTCACCTCCCATTCAGTTGCCTCTGTGGCTCAGAATCTCGAAAACCGGTCACTCTGTAGGTCACCTGCAAAGGGTGTGCGACCTCAACTACACATTTTGAGGTGTGAACTGGAATTATCCACCCCTAAAGCTTACAGCATCACCAACGAATTCACCTATTTTTCCACCAATTTGAGCCTTGCAGTAGTCTCGGTCCTTCTCGGTCGTGATGTCTACTTTCATTGCTGTACACAGACACACAGACATAGCCACATACATACATATAAATGTGAGTGTGCGTGTGTCGTGATGACAAAGGAAACCACAGACATATATATAAAGATATAGGTCCGAAACCTAAGCCATCCAGCATGACTTAAGCAAATTTTCGAAATGTCAAACATACCAAAGGCCAAACCATCTTGGTCTTCATATCTTCAAGTCAACCACTGGTGCTGCTCTTCCAAATAGTCTAACTACTGACGGCAAGGCTTGGGGTCGAGTTCGTCCTTTACAAGGTCGTCTCACAAAATTCCTGATTTTGTCCCTCGCTGAAGCCGAAACAGCTGCTTTGGCGAGGTTATCAGGTCTCAATTGATCTTTTCCACTACATCTGAATCATCTATAGCCCATGACCATCTAGTAACTCTCTACTATTTCAGAGGGTCCACATTACCAGCTTCTCCATCTTTGATCCTTAACCTGAGTTTATCTATTCATCCATAAGGTGGTGCAGCAACTATGACAGCGGTACCTCTTACGAACACACTTAAGCATTAATACACTCACATCCTCTAAGTCCCCAGGATATAATTAATTTGTGCTCTTCGTCTTGTCATCCCTTTTAAATCCCTCAATCCTTCGATACCTCATCGTCTGTCGCTTCGCCAAATATTTTGTATCTCTCCTGGGTTGGCTGGTAATACGTGATGACTTGTGGCGACAGGCGCTGCCGAGAAGTCTGCTCGCCACGGAGCCGACGACAAGGCACAGACGATAATACAGGCAATGACGGCTCTGATGCGTCAACGGATCAACACTATGCCAGAGCTCTTCAGTTTGGTCGGTCTGGTGTTTGGTGTGGATTCAGAGACGCACGAAACCAACCTCTGCCAGGCTCAGCAGAGCATTTTGGACGGCACCAGCAAGTGGTCGGCCAAAATCGCCATCACCGGTAGGTCTTAGTTGTGCTAAAATTGACCACAAGCTGGGTAAATTGCTTCATCTCCCAAATCGACCGATCATTAGTTATGTCGGTATAATTGCTTTGCTTCCCCCCTCCCT